CAGCCTGTGGATGCCTTCACTCTTTCTGCCATGTTTTTCTCTGAGGTGTCAAGGCTTGGCAGCAAACACCTTTGCCTGCTGAGCCATCTCTCTGGCCTCCAATTGTCCAGAGGTTTTTTTTTTTTTTTTTTTATAACTATGATTTCTTTCTTCCAGAGAACTTCTGAATAATTAACTAAAGGTTAATGAAGCTGGACCAGCAAGATGGCTCAGTGGGTAAACTGCTTGCCTCACAAACCTGAGAAGCCAAGTTTGATCCCTGGAACCTCTGAAAAGGTAGAAAGAGAACCAACATTGTACTCTGATCTCCACATGTGTTTCTAAACACACACACACACACACACACACACACACACACACACACATCATGCTCTCTCACACACAATGCTACTAAATAACAAAAAGCTAATGAATCCTGGTTCTGGCCCAAACCTTTGTGTCAATTGTGTTCCTTTCATCTCTTCTGCTTTGAGACAGCGTCCCGGGCATCTCAGGTGGCTTTGGATTCTGATCCTCTTGCCTCTTCCATCTAAGCTGGAGTTGCAGGTGTGCACCACCACGGGCTGAGTTACTTTTCTTAAGTCATTTTTTTTAATTGGATGTTTTATTTACATTTCATATGTTGTCCCCTTACCTCATCCCCCACAAATGTGTAGCCCAGGCTAGCCTCGAACTCGTGATCCTCCTGCCTCTGCCTCCTTCAGCAAATCCTACCGGTGTGCGCCACCACTACCGGCTTAAGTCATTTTATTAATGTCTGCCTTTGTGCCTCCCCCATTTACAAAGGAGGTAGTTTATAGTAGGCTCATATGTGCCAAAGGGTGGTTAAAGATAGTGTCTGAGAAAGGGCTCAGGAGATAGAGAAAAGGAGAGAGAGAGAGAGAGAGAGAGAGAGAGAGAGAGAGAGAGAGAGAGATATCCAGGATCAGATGGCCATCACTGATTTGAGTATTACATTTGGTTTCACCTTCCTGAGTGTCAAGACAAAATGGGGAACCAGATATTTTTCTGTGGTATTTGTATGACAAAGTCTCTCTGACCAGTGACTCTTCTCTCCAGACATGTGACAGTAAGAATCAGTGATAATGTGGGCAACAGCCTTTTTGCCCAAGATGCAAAGCTTGTTGTTTTGCTTGTTTGCTTTTTGTTTGTTTTATAGCTCCTGTGGGGCAGACTTTTCTAAAGCAGGAGCCCCATAATAAATCACAGTGCGTTATCGGCCTCCCTGTGCCCTGGACCAACACTGAATGGCGCTGTCCTGGACTCCATCACTCAGAGGCAACATTTAGAGACTAGGTCAACGGGTGGCTCTCTTGGCGCCTCAGCTGGCTTCAAATGATCTTCATAAGCAGACAAGAAATTCAGACGCCATCAAGATCAAGTCATCTGGGGCCAGGGATGTGACTCAGTGGTAGAGCGTTTGCCTAGCATGCAGGAAGCTCTTAGTTCACTGTCCAGCAGGAGGATTAGGAGGTTCAAAGTCATCCTTCTCTATGTAGTGAGATCAAGGCCAGCCTGGCATACAAAGTCATCCTTCTCTACATAGTGAGATCAAGGCCAGCTTGGGATACATCAGAATTGTTAACAAACAGACACCCAAGAAAAAGGCAAAACGAAATCATCAACACATTTAGCTAGGTATGGTGGTAAAAATCCCATAATCTCAGTGCTTGGGAGATGAAAACATGAAGATAAGGCGTTCAAAGGTTATTCGAGGCTACTTATCAAGGTCCAGGCCAGCCTATGGTATATGATACCCTGTTTCAACAAAACAGAGCACAAACAAACCCAGAGACAAACAACAACTACTACAAACAAATCCTAGGTGTTCAGATATCCCGGTGTTCCTGAGACATTTGAAACAAAGACAATTGAGGGAAAAATATTGTAAGAGATGACAGACAAAAAGTTAGTGTTCTTCACAGCATAAATGGCTCTCAGAAACAGAACACAATAGGAAAGTGAGCAAAGCCTGTGTGTACAGGTGTGTTCAGTGTGTGTGTGTCGTGTGTGTACTTGGGAGGTAGACAGTGGTTCAGTTTTCTAGCCCCCTTTCACTTACAAAGTTGCCTCATGGGAATCTTGATTGGGTTCATGTTTCTATATGGCTGTCTTAAAGTCTGATAATTTGTGTGGTCCTCAACTGTATAATTAAAGGACTCTAAAAGCAAAGCGGGTTTCCTTGGGGAAGAATTTTTATTTATAGATTATAGCATCTTGGCCTAGGTGTGATGGTGCACACCTCTAATATCAGCCCTCAGTAGGCTGGGGCAGGGGGATTGCAAGTTAGAGGTCAGTGTGGAGTCATAGATAGTGAGCTGAGCTGCTCAGTGAGCCTGTCACACACACACACACACACAGACACAAACATATACACACACGCACGCGCACACACACACACGCACACATGCACACTCACACTCGCACACACCCCTGAAGCCTCAGCTCCCAGCTGGGAATGTTCAGGCTTTGATGGCTTTCACTATTTTGGACTTTGGACTAACCAGAGCACACAATCATGTTAGCCAGTTTCTTGGAACAAACTGCTGTATGAGGATGAATCTTTATTGCCAACCTGAGAGGAGATACGCTAGGACTATGAAAACACACATTTGGGTGTGCCTGTGAGGATTAACTGAACTCGGAAGACCCACTCTGAATGTGGGTGGCATGGTCCCACAGATTCAAGCCCAGATGGAACGAAAGGGAACTGAGAGAAAGCGAGGTGGGTTCCGGTTTGCCCAGTCTGCTTCCTGGGTGGCCATGTCGGGATCAGTTACCTCTGTTTTGTGTTTCCATCACCTGATGTTCTGCTCAAGCCCATGGGACCAAGTGGCCATGGATTCAATTCTACAAAACCATGTGTCTAAGAAATTCCTTTTTCTCTTAAGGATTTCCTCCTTCCTGTCTTCTTCTCTGTTTCCTAAAATGAGTGTTACTTTAGTAAGTTAGACAAATGTATAATTTAGATATATGTATGTATGTACGTATGCATATAGGTTTTTTTTTGAGGCAGGGTTTCTTTGTGTAGTGCTGGCTATCCTAGAACTCACTCTGTCTACCAGGCTGGCCTTAAACTCAGAGATCCACCTGCCTCTGCCTTCGGAGTGCTGGAATTAAAGGAGTGTACCCAGCTTTATTTTTAATTACATGTATATATGTGTTTGTCTGCTTGTGGGTAGGTGCACATGTGTGCACTTGCATATGGAAGCCAGAAGAGGGCGTTAAATCCCCTAGAACTGGAGTTACAGGTGGTTGTTAGCCACCCAACACGGGTGCTGGGAACCAAATTCAGGCCTTTGCAAGAGCAGTCTGTGCTCTTAATCTTGAGTCATTAAAACATACTGTTTTCCTTCAGAAGCCACAGCAACTCCACAGTTCCACGGCTGGCTGTGATCCCAACAGCGTCAAGGAGACAGTGAGGTGGGATCTGGGGGAAGAAAGGCAGGAGGAGCCATGGGCAAGTGCTATGAGAGAGAGAGAGATAGAAAAGGAGCACACAGAAGCCTGGGATAGCTACAGCTTTAGAGTAGAAGGGCAGGCCTTGCTTCCAGGGACTCTTAGCCTTTCTCTACCAGCACTATAATGCTACAGTGAACTGCTCCAAACTCAAGGGCACAGTTTGAGTCAGCTCTTGGTCTGGGTGGCCATTTTGCCCTCGGCTAGGCTCCCAGGTATGACTGGGGTCTGCTGGCTAGTGACCAAGGCAGCTCAGCTCTGCTCTCTTTGTCTCCTCTGTCCACCCAGCAGACCAACAGGTTCCTGGCAGAAGCAGGAAGTGCAGGAGGAAATATGAGAGCACTAAACTAAGGCTGGGGGCTGGGACACCCCACTTCTTCTGTACTACAGTAGGCAAAACAGGTCACAAGTCTGTCTAGGTTCAAGGGGAAATGAATTCTCTTTAGAGAGAAACACTCTGAGGTAAGAGGATGTGAGTCTAAGGAGGAGGCACCAGAGATCTACTTCAGGCCCGAGGCTGATACAATCCTGGCACCCTTTGCAGAAAAAGATTTCCAAGTTATGAATACTAAATTTGGCATGAGGTCTTGAAAGGAGCCCCATCTAGGTAGGGACATGACAATTCAGCTTCAGTGACTACAGGACAATACTTTAGAAGCCCTACTAAGTGCAGCTTGGAATAGAAGCACGAGGGCAGAGAGCCCTAGCCTAGGCAAGGTCAGGATTGGGGGAATAAGTTTGAGAATGAATGACTGACAGTTGTTTCTCATTACAGCAAGACTTAATTATGTGGGTTATTTTTTAATTGTATCAGATTTAGTTGTTTTTTTTTTAAAGATTTATTATTATAGGGTGGTAGTGGTAGTGGTAGTGGTTGTGGTGGTTTTGGTGGTGGTGGTGGTGGTGGTGGTGGCAGAGGCAGCACACACCTTTAATCCCAGCACTGCTGAGGCAGAGGCAGGCAAAATCTCTGAATTTGAGGCCATCCTGGTCTACAGAGTGAGTTCCAGAAAAGCCAAGGCTATACAGAGAAACCCTATCTCCGAAAGCAAAAACCAAAACATGACTTATTATTTTAATTTATGTACATGCATATGTATGTGTGCATGTGCACATGTGTGATTGCTACATGTGTTTGCATGTGAAGTCCGGAAGAGTACGTTAGAGCCCTGGGAGCTGGGCTAATAGATGGCTGTGAGCCATCTGGCGTGGATACTGGGAAACTTAGTCTTCTGAAGAGCACTGTGCCCTTGTGAATACTGAACCATCCCTCTACCCACAGACACAGGGCTCCTGACTATCCTGACACTCTCAGAATCCACAGAGGGCCCCTGTTTAAGGGACAGCATCACTGACTGTATCACACAGTGGCTTGGATAAGTCTGTGGCCCTCCATCTTGGATGGGCCAGTTTGAGAGGACCAGGATCAGAGGATCTGGCCATAGGCTCCTGTCAGACAGCTCTGCATTTTTTCCTACCTCTTCCCAAGAAAGGAAAAGTCAGTCCTAGACCCTCCATGAACATGTCCCCTTGGTTTTCAGCGTTCCCCCAGCCTGTTGACCACCCCCCTGAAAGGTATTCTATGTTGCGGAGGAGGAGGAGAAGGTGCATCCTGGGAAGAAACCTGTTTGATTTACAGTGGTGAGTGAAAGGCTCCGGCACCCTTGTTGGTCCTCCTTTATGGCCTAGAAACATGTAAAGCAAGTGGCCATCTCTGGCCACATCCTGGAAAAGCTGGGGCGTATCAGCGGCTGGTGTTTTCAGTGTAAACAGCCCTCCGACGTGCCTCCTCACTTCCGGTTAGCCTGCCCAGGGCTTGAGGACACCATGAAGCAAGTTGTCACAGGATGTCTATGGCACCTACCCAAAGTGACCCTACCCTAAAGGCTTCCTGAAAAGGAGTGTGCATGAGACGGAAGCCACAGTGTTAGAATGAGGAGTGACCACCAAGGCTGGCCTTCCTTCTTGTCTTATTTGGACGAGTGGTTACTGCGGGGAGGGCGTGCGAGTGAGCGTAGGAGTCATGAATAGCAAGCTGGTTTCCTGCATGGGGGGCGGTAGGGGGTAGCCATGGAATATTCATTAAATTTCTGGGGAATACAGGTTAAGCCCATATCTATTACCCAGTAGTCTGGGGCAGATCAACAAGAGTTCTCTCAAAGCAGAGCCTTCTGGGTAAGTAGATCCCTGTTCATATATCCTGATTCTCTTTGTAATTTTGTAACGGGTAGGGGTGCTGGGGCTCAGACTCAAGGCCTTGCATATGTTAGGCAGGAACTCTGCTACTGAGAAATACTTCCTCCCCTCCTCTTAGACAGGTGTCACAATTTAGCCCAGGCTAGCCTTGAACTTACCACTTAGCTCAGCTTCAAGTCAAACTTTGAATCCCCCTGTTTCTGCCTCGTAACTTCCCACCTGTGCCTGCCACCCTCGATGAAGCTGGCTGGCTTTTGACACCTCCTCAGCACCCTCCGCTCTCCCATTCCAGTCTCTGTTCTAGAAGCTGCCATCTGGCCCCCTTCAACCTATTGAAGCTTTTGGGCTCCAGTGACTCTAGCTCTCTAGCCGGTGCTATCCAGAATCGCCAGACCTGCATAGACAGAGTAGGAGGTGCTGGTTCTCTTTCCAGAGAAGTCACTGTGGTGCTGAGGAGGGTGATGTTTCTCAAAGCCCTTTTCACAAGTCTGACTTCTTGCATTACACTTTTCTCACCCTACCTCCTTCCTCTTTTGGTTTTATTTGCCAGCGGGAAGTGGCTAAAGGAGGAAGTACCAGAGTGAGAGTGAGGGAAATCAGAGGCCCAGGAGACGCAGGAGCAGAGCATGTAGCCTGCTCTTGCTGCCAGGCTCCACCAAGGTGACTCGGTGTGAGAAGATGCATTTGTCATTGCTGGTCCCCTTTCTCTTCTGGATCTCAGGTGAGCACGCTCGGGCAACCAGAGGAAGTGGTTGCCTAGCAAGGGGTTGTCCATCCACTACCCCATGGTTGTGGTGCCTTTGTGGCAGAAATATTGAGTGCTTAAGCTCCCTTCGAGGGACAATTCTAGACTACTTCAGACTGGTCATATTTGAGACAGACACACTGATGGGCCTCATCGGTCTTTGAAAGTCAGGAGAGTCCTGGGTGCTCAGGAGAATGTCTGATGAGGCTGGATTGTCATCTTGTGATTCTGTTCCAGCAAGGGAAGGAAGGCTTTGGGGGAAGAAATGATTGTGGGCACAGGTCGCTGAAGGGAAAAAGAGTTCTGCTATTCAGAACCGATGGAGGGGTGATTCCTGGCAGCTGGGAGAGAAGGTGCTATCAGAAGCGGCTGAGGAATGAAAGGAGAAGAGAGGGCAGGAGACAAGGCCACAGATAGAGGGCTGACAGCGCTTTCTTGTGTTTTGAGATGGTGTGTGGGAGGGCTCCCTATGTAGCCAAGGCTGGCCCTCTAACCAGTGATTCTCCTGCCCCTGCGTCTGTCTCCAAAAATATTCAAAATATGATTCATAACTAGCAAAATAACAATTATGAAGCAGCAACAAAAATAATTTTATGGCCGGGAAATCACCACAACATGAGGAAGAGTGTTACAGGGTCAAAGCATTAGGAAGGTTGAGAACCGCTGCTCTAGTTAGTGCGTGCTGAGTCAGACGGCAGAGGGGCGTTTTCTGGTACTGGGATTATAGGCTGTGCCATGATGCTTGAATCAATGTAGCTGTAAGTGGATACAGTTTTGATTTCAAAGAAAGAGAACTTACTCTTGAACACAATGATGCAGGCCTTTAATCTCTCTTCATCTGGAAGACAGAGACAGGTGAATCTCTGTGAGTTTAAGGGACAGCCTAGTCTACATAGCAAGTTCCAGGCTAGTCAGGGTGCAGGGTGAGAGTGTGTCTCAAAAGAAATTGCACAAAACCATGAGTTCTTTGCGTCATTTTTCCATGTGTGCATATCATGTACTCAGATAATTGTCTTCTTTCTTCTTCTCCCCCGTTTCTACTGGTTGCCTTCTTCTCCCTTAACACCCTTTTGTACTCCTATGTTTTGTTTGTTGGTTTGTTTTTAAAATCTGGAGTTTGCGTAGGAGATTAAACATGTGATATTTGTCTTTCTGAATCTGGCGTCCTCTCTTTAACAAGGTGGTCTCCAGGTCAGTGTATTTTCCTGCAGGAATCATTGTGTATTTATATGTCATCGGCTTTATCCATTCATCTGTCAATGGACTTTGATCCATGGCTCGGTGACTGCGGCTAGTGCTGCAGTATAAATGGGTACGCAGAGCCTCTAGTGCAGCGGTTCTCAACCTGTGGGTCATGCTTGCCGCGGCAAACCTCTATCTCCAAGAATATGTACATAGTGATTTATAACGGTAGCAAAATTATGAGGTAGTAATGAAAATAATTTTATTGTGTGTATGAGGGTCACCACAACCTGAGGAACTGTTTTAAAGGGTCATGGTGCTAGGAAGGTTGAGAATGGCTGTAGGGAGTTCTCTGGTTTTGTATTCTGGTGGTTTCTACTGTGCCCATGGGCTTCTCCTCTTAGCTTGAAATATTTTTAGCAAATGGCTTTCAATTTCATACCCCTAGAACAGACGTTTCTCAGGGCTCTAGAATCTCACAGTCAAGTGTCAGCTTTCGTATTTAGACATTGACCTTTCAAACGTGGGGGCTGAAGAGATGGCTCCGCAATTAAGAAGGCTTGCTTTTCTCTTCCCCCAGAGGACCCAAGTTCGATTCCCAGCACCTGCTGCTGGGTTTGTCACAACCACCTGTCACTCCAGCTCTGATGTCCTTTTTGGCCTTCATGGGAACCTGTAGTCATGTGCACATAAGCACACGCTCAAACACATATAAACATAAAAAAAAGAAAAGAAATTTAGGAATAGTAAGACCCTGACAGACAGATGACAGAGAGAGAGAGAGAGAGACAGAGACAGAGACAGAGACACAGAGACACAGAGAGAGACAGAGAGACAGAGAGAGAGACAGTGAGAGACAGAGAGAGACACACAGAGAGAAAACTTGTGTACAGTTGCCAGAGGAGGACAGAAGAAGGCGCCAGATCCCCTGGAGCTGGAGTGACGGCAGTTGTGAGCTGCCTGTGGTGGGTGCTGGGAACTGAACTCAGGTCCTTTGCCAGAGCAACACTGCTCTTAATTTCTGAGGCATTTCTCCAGCTCCCAAGATTCTTACAATTAACTGTAGAGCTTGTACATTGTTGATACGTGAACAGTGGCGAGACCACTCTGAAACACAATGTGATGGCTCTTCAGAATGATAGATACGGCATTGCCACATGACCACAATGAACTACAAGCACACGTCCATGTAAAAGCTAAGAATACACCAGGTGGTGGTGTATTCACCTTTAATCCCAGCACTAGGGAGGCAGAGGCAGGCAGACCTCTGAGTTTGAGGTTATTGAAAGGTGGGAACAATCTCAATGTTTGACCCCTTTGGGTTCACGGTTAAGTAAAACACAGCATAGTCATGCAGTGGAATGCCACACTGATGGACTTCGAAAGCAGATGCCAGGAGGAAGGAGCTGGATACCACTATGTACTGTATAATGCCAGTCTTATGAAATGTCTGGAATAGGTGAGTTTAGGGGACCAGGAAGTAGATTAGTGTTAGTGGAGAGAAGACAGAGAGACAGGCACCAAGGGAAGCAACTGTCACTAGTGTGAGATAGCTCTTCATACTGATAAAAGAAAAGAAAAAGTTCTGTAACTAGACAGCAGAGACAGTCATCCAGCCTGTGACTGTTCTAACGCCCACTGAGCTGGGTGCGTTCAAAGAGTTAAGTGTACTGTATGTGAATTATGTATCAGCTTTAAAGGCAGGGCAAGATAAATCCTTAGCTTAAAATGTGGTTCAATTAATTAACATTCAGACATCTTCCTCCAGACTGGGAGGACTGAACCCTGGACCTCATGTTCGCCAAGGGGACACCCTGCCAATTGAGTTGTAGACTCAGTCCTCATGTTTCTGCTTTTTTGACACAAGGTTTCCCTATGTATCCCAGGCTGTCCTTGAACTAGCTTCATAGTTCACACTGGGTTCTAGCAGTGGTAAGATTGTAGGCATGTGTCACCAACCATGCCTGGAATACAGGTTTTTGTCATTGTCTTATCCTTATTTAGAGTGTGTGTGTGTGTGTGTGTGTGTGTGTGTGTGCAGGGAGAGAGAGAGAGAGAGAGAGAGAGAGAGAGAGAGAGAGCGCTCACATGGAAGTCAGAGGACAATTGTGGGAGTCAATTCTCTTTTCTCCCATGTGGGTTCTGGGGATTGAACTCAGGTGGTCAGTTTTGGTGGCAGGTACCTCTATCCAATGAGCCATCTTGCTAGTTTTGGAACAAGGTTTGCTAACAAGGCAACCTAGAAAATGATAACACATAGTAATCTCAAGGAAATAGGAAGAAAGTTACACAGATGGGAAATTAACTTAGGAAGTAAGACCTTAACATATACCCATTGTAATGGTTAGTGTCAAGTGTATTGGTAAGTGCCCAAGAGATTGGGAAAGCATACCTCTGAAGTGTGTCTGTGAGGGCATTTTCCAGGGGGAGACCCACACTGATGTGGGTAGCAAAATCGAACAGGCTTGGGGAGCTAGATGGGATAAGGGGGAATGACAATTGGTACAGCCTCTCTCTCTCTCTCTCTCTCTCCCTCTCTCTCTCTCTCTCTCCCTCCCTCCCTCCCTCCCTCCCTCCCTCCCTCCCTCCTCCTCTCTCTCCTTCCCTTTCCTCGCCTCCTCCTCCTCCTCCTCCTCCTCTTTGTCCTCCTCCTCTCCCTCTTCTGTCTATGTTATCCCTCTTGGCCCTCACTACCCTTCCTCCTGATTGTCAGGATGTGAGCCACTTGCTTTGTCACCTCCTCCCTGTCGTGACGAGTCAGAAGAACCCTTCACTGCTCAGGTTGATTCTGCCAGATATTTTATCACAGAGACAACAACAACGAAAGGCTAACTCGTGTCCCAACTCAACCTCAGAACTTCTTCGATAAAGACAAAAGGAAGGGAAGCAATAGTTAAGTAGAAAACTGTGTCATAAGGACAGACAGCACACGTAACGAAAGCATGTGGTCAGCATAGATTAATTGAAGGGTATTTCAAAAGTGTTAAGCTACCTTCCTCCTCCTTCCTCTTACTTACTTGTGTATGTGTGTGCTGTGTGTGTTCCTGCCAGTGGCTGCACATGTGGACATCAGAGGACAACTTGCAGGAGTCAGTTCTCTCCTTCTACCATGCAGGTCCTAGGGATCACACTCGGGTCATCAGGCTTGGTGGCAAGTGCCCACTGAGCCATCTCACTAGCTCCCAAAAATTATTCTCGAAAAGAAACATTTCATTGTGCCCCGAGTCTTTCAAAGGTGAGAAAGCAGAAGAAACCCCTCTCACCCTCGGGAACGCTCCAAGGCAGGACATCGTGGAACCAGAATGGGATGGACACAAAGGTCAAGGGAACAGAATGGAAAAATCCATCTGGAAATCACAAGTTTGCTTTTTCGGCAAATGCACCCACACAGTTCATGCAGACAATGGGACCTGTGTGTGAGGGGCCACGGAATATAGAAACCAGAGTCATTCATCCAAGATGGGTGACTATAGGGGCCTATTGGAACCTCCAGCAACAGCCTCTCAGGGCCATTAGATGTGGCTTCCCTGGACTTCCTCAGGGTGTCCATTCTAAGAGTGCATGTCCTGTGGACATGGATCTTCTAATCCCACCTCTCCACACCAGCACAGCATGAGGGTCATTGTAAGAGGACCTTCACAGATATGTGGATTTTGTACTGGAGAGATGGCTCAGTTGGTAAGAGCTCACTGTGTGAGCAAGAGGACCTGAGTTCGAATCCCAGTCCCCACCTAAAAAGCCAGGCTGTGGCTGCCTGTGTGCTGATCACCCAGTGCTGTGAGGGGTAGAGACAGGGATGGGTTGCTGGGGCTTGCTGGCCATAGCATAGCTCTAGACACAGGTGAGAGATGGCTCAGCCATTGAAGAGCACCTCTTCTTACAGAGGACTCTGGTTCATTTGTCAGCAGCCACACAGTGGGTCACAATCATCTGTAACTCCAAGTCCAGGGGACCTGACACCCTCTTCTGGCCTCTGAAGGCACCAGGCCTTCATGTGGTACACAGACATATAAACAGGCAAAAAATCCATACACATAAAATAAAAATAAATCTTAAAGGGCCTGGAGAGATGGCTCAGTGGTTAAGAGCACTGGCTGCTCTTCCAGAGGTCTTGAGTTCAATTCCCAGTAACCACATGGTGGCTCACAACCAATTGTAATGGGATCCAGTGCCCTCTTCTGGAGTGTCTGAAGACAGCTACATAAATAAAATAAAGAAATTAAATAATTCTTTAAAAAATAAATCAGTAAATCTTAAAAACAAGTATAAGCCAGAATGATAGAACAGGGTGCCTGAGCCTCCCTCTGATGTTCAAATAGTCACTCAGCCTCATGCATCAAACATGCATGTGCTCCCACCCATATATCTCACGCACATACACACACATACACACACACACACACACACACATGCACACACACACATACATGCACACACACACATGCACACACACATGCACACACACATACATGCACACACACACATGCCAGGGAGAGTAACTGTTTTTTGAGTCAGAGTCTTACTATGTAGCCCAGGCTAGCTTTAAATTCATGATCCTCCGTCTTCAGCCTCTTGACTGAGAGGTTTAGGTGTGTGGAACACCACGCCTGGATATTGTTTATGTGGTGGGGGAAGGGTAGATGTTAGAGATAGAAGTCACGGTCTCGCTCACACTGGGGTCTCTATGTAGTCCTGGCTATCTTGGAACTTGCTATGTAGGCCAGGCTGGCCTTGAACTTAGAGACACTTGCTTGTTTTGTCTACTAAGTACTGGAGTGAAAGCCCGTGCCACCATGCTTGGCTGTAATTGTTTTCTCCAGAATTTTCCTGGCTCCTCTGACTCAGTAGGATGTTGAGGGATGACAGATAGCCTGTCTTGTAGAAGAGGCGTCTATCCTTTGACCACTATTCAATTAAAGATGCTTTTGGAATCAGCACTATGCCCCGCCCTTGGATTAGGAGATCAGTGGTCCATCGTTTGTGTTTTCCAGGCTGCTGCACTGCTCAGGATCCAGTCACAGGTCCAGAGGAGGTGAGCGGTTATGAGCAGGGCTCCTTGACAGTGCAGTGCCGATATAACACAGGATGGAATAATTACAACAAGTACTGGTGCCAAGGGGATTATTGGCAAACATGTGAGATTCTCGTTGAAACCGATGCCTCAGAGCGGTTGAAGAAGAAGAACCGTGTGTCCATCAGGGACGACCAGAAACACCGCATCTTCACAGTGACCATGGAGGATCTGAGGATGAGCGATGCTGGCATTTACTGGTGTGGAATTACAAAAGTTGGAAGGGATCCCATGTTTAAAGTTCATGTTAACATTAACCCAGGTAAGAGGTGTGTGAGCATCTCTTTAAGTGCCCTTTCTGGTGTCTCAGGTCTCAGGAATTAGCTGTCACTCAATAGAGCTGTTGCACTGTGTGGAAGATAGAATCCTGAAGTCCCATATACCCTTGATTGACTGCTTGGGATTAGAAGAGACAGCCTCTCTCTCTCTCTCTCTCTCTCTCTCTCTCTCTCTCTCTCTCTCTCTCTCTCTCTGTCTCTCCAAGTATTTCTTTTTTCTTTTATGTGCACTGATTTTTGCTTGCATCTATGTCTGTGTGAGGGTACCAAACCCTTTGGAACTGGAGTTATAGACAGCTGTGGACCTCAATGTGGGTGCTGGGAATCGAACCCTGAACCTTTGGAGAAGCAGCCAGGGCTCTTAACTGCCAAGCCATCCCTCCTCTTCTTTTAAATGTCTTCTGTCTCTCAGAGATTCCACACCCTTTCCCCTCCTCTTCACTGCACAGCTCTGTCTTGAGTCTATTCCCAGGAGAGGACAGGGTGTCGTTCCCACCTCCAGCTCATAGGCCAAAGATAACACTTCCAGTGGTTCGCAGTCTCCAGTTCCTGCCAATACTTTCCTTGAGTTCCAGGGAAAGTTCGCCTTGCTCTCTGAGGAGCTCCGGGTGTTGCCTTCACCTGATGCTGTTCTCTGGTCCTCTATATCCAGCCCAAGGGAAGTGTTACCAGCTTAGTTCTGGTGTTGTGGTCTAGCTTGCAAGGTTTAGAAAAGTCTTCACACATAGTTGCATTTCTGATGTCTGCAGTGTCCCTAGTAGTTTATTTGTGCCCATTGGCTTAATGATGTTCTTTTTGAGAGTCCTTCTAGAATGCAGAACTCTGGTGGTGGTGGTGGTGGTGGTGGTGGTGGTGGTGGTGGTGGTGGTGGTGGCGATGGCGGGGGTGGCAGGGTGGCAATGGCGGTGCCAGCTCAGAGGTCTTGGTGTATTGGCTTGGAGTAGTTTCTCTCTTGGATTCTGCTTGGCCAGCCTCAGGCAGTACCAGGTCACAGGGTACTTGGAGGATAGAGGCAGCAGATGAGAGCCATCAGTCCGCCATTGCCAGGACTCCCTGAAGTTCAGTATGGTGCAAACCTTGCGTTAACTTGCTGAACCCTGACAACATTCTTGGAAGAGTGTTGTCCTTATTATTAAAACTTCTTACTTTGTCCCAAGCAACGTGTCCTCCTATCAGTACTTTCTTTTTGCTACTAAGGGATGTTTGTTTAGTTTATATACATGGGTATTTTGCCAGCACACATGTATGTGTACTGTGTGTGTCATGTGCCCATAGAGTCCAGAAGAGGGGCCCAGATACCCTAGAACTGGAGTTACAGACAGTTGTGAGCCACCAGGTGGGTGCTGGGAACTGAACTTGTGTCCTCTGTCAGAGCATTGTATGCTTTTAATGGCTGAGACATCTCTTTAGTTCCAATGTTAGCTGTTGACCTTAGAAGTTTCCAATGTAGGTTATGTTAGCAACTCTTCCAGTTCCCTGTCTCTTGGAGGGAGGCATTGGCTGGGGCACTGTCCTAGCAGGTGGGGTACACAGTTGTCGTTGCTCATCATCCTCCTTGGGCTTGGTTCCAGGCCTACCTGTCCCATAAGCTCTGGCTTCTCTTAGAGACCAAGAGGATGCTATAGACCAGCTATAACTGTTTGACACAGCCTTGCTCCAGGGTCCTCTGGCTGGGACGGCTCACACTCCCTCACGGGCTCAGAGCAAGTGAGTGGGTGGCTGGAATAGTGTTCTAATCTGTCTTATGCCAAGCAACCCAAGCACCCACTACAGTGTCAACCACGCCCCCCATCACCTCCACCACCACCATCTCCACAGTGACAACCACGGTAAAAGAGACCAGCACGTTTCCAATGCCGACCAGCTACTACTCTGATCACAGGTAAGTCATTTTGGATGCCGCTGTCCTCTGTAGTCCAGTTAGGCTGAGCTCTTCCAATAGTCTCTGAAGTCTCAGGTTCTATTTCTATGGTTTAATATGCTGGCCCTCCTGACTTGCCTTCAGTTCCCAGGGAGCCCTGATCCTGGAACAGAGGGTAGTTTGTAGGTTTGCTGGTTCATTTGTTCATTCATTCATTCTACTTTAACTGGAACTAGTTCCTTTCTGGTAGGCACGTGCCGAGTTCTAGATACATGAGTATAGTGCTCTGTGGGGGAGAGAGAGAGTTATGGGAAGTCAGCAAGGTTAGTGTGGCTGGTGTGTGTGTGTGTGTGTGTGTGTGTGTGTGTGTGAAAGAGAGAGAGAGAGAGAGAGAGAGAGAGAGAGAGAGAGAGAGAGAGAGAGAGAGAGAAATGGGGCTGTAGGGCCACAGGGATGGCTCTTGGTCCAGCTTCTAGGAGGCCATGGAGAACTGTGGAGGACTTGATCCCCTAGAGGTCTTCAAGTGACTGATAAGGGAGCTGGAGAGAAGGACCAATGGTTTGGAGCACTAGCTGCTTTTACAGTGGATTCCCAGCATCCATACGTTAGTCACGAGATCTGTAACTCCAGTCCCAGTCCCAGGGGATCCACCCTCTATTGCCTCTGAGGACACTGTACACATGTGCACAGATACACACACACACACACACACACACACACACACACACACACACACACACACACACATGCATGTATGCACAAATAAATAATCAAATGACTGTTAACGTGAGAACTGTGATATTGGTAGCTCCTAGCCAGAGTGACATCCTCTCCTTTCCTCTCTCTTCCTCTTCTTTTCTTTTCTTCCTCATCCCTGCCTCCTGACAGACTTTCCTGCAGCTCAGGCTGAGGATGACCTTGGACTTCTTGTCTTTCTGCCTCTGTCTCCTGCTTGCTAGGATTGCAGGTGCTTGCCTCCACGCCCTGTTTGTGCCTGCCAGGGATGGAACTCATGTATGCTAGGTAGGCACTCTGCCAGCTGAACTGCACCTCAGCCCTCATCTGATGTTTTCTTTGTTCCTGCCTAGGATGACCCCACGAGGAGGAATGGACAGATACAAATGCACCCACTTTACAGAAACGAAAATAAAGCCTAGATGGCTTCCCAGTGAAGAATCTTGACCCTAGATCTTGGATAGAAGTTTTTTTTTTCCCACAAGGCCAGAACTTGTTTTATTCTTTAGTAATCTGCCCAGACACTTGCAATCAGAGAATTTTCTTGAATCTGAGAGGCCTCTTCTCATTTCTAGCTTTTGATCTCTTTGCCCCCATAACTTTGCATTCACCTATTTGCTTTGAGTTAATCAATTAATCTATTTTATGTGTGGAGTGTTTTGCCTGTACATTTGTCTGTGTACCACTCTGTGTGTCTGATGTGCACAGATGTCAGAAGAGAGAGTTATATCCCCTGTAGCTGGAGTGACAGATGCTTGTGACCACCATGCAGGTGCTGGGAACCAAACCCAGGTCCTCAACCAGAGCAGGAAGTGCTCTTAGCCACTGAGCAATCTATCCAGTCTCTTGACTTTGTTTTCAGCTCTTCCCAAGAGCCCCATTGAGGGGTCCTTTCCACAAAGCCTCGTAGAAGATGCCCAGTCTTTCCACCACCAGGAACCCTGTCACCCTACTCCCCGTTTTGCCCTCTGCCTTGAGGCATTTGTTTGGGTTTTGCAGTTCTGAGGACTGAACTCGGGACCTTGCACACACTAGGCAAGGGCTCGACCACAACCACACGTGTGGCCTTCCAAGTGGCTTTTAATATGCAATAGCTCTCACTTTCCTCTTCTCCTCCCCCTTCTCGTGTGTGTGTGTGTGTGTGTGTGTGTGTGTGTCCTAGACAACCTCTAGTGTTGTTCCTCAGGAACTGTGCATCTTTCTTTTTTTAAGAGCCTCTCATTGGCTGGAGCTCACCAAGTAGTCTAGACTGGCTATCCAGGAACCCATGGGGCTCCCCCGTCACCACCTCCTCAGCGCCAAGATTGCAGGAGCATAGCACCATGTCTGATCTTTTAATGTGGGTCCTAGGAGTTGAACTCAGGTCTTCATAGTTGTAAATCAAACACTTCATTGACTTGGCCATCTCTCAGTCCCCAGTGTCTTCTTGGGAGGACCCTGTTTGTGTTAGATTAAAGCCCATCCCAATGACCTCACTCAGAGACTCTATCTATCCTCAAATACAGCCACCTCTATCAGCTCCAAAGGAATAACTTGTTCCAAGCCTTTTCTTCTAGCTTCTAGCTTTGGCAGTGATATTTTAAAATTTATATATTTAAAAGTATTATTTTATTATTTATTATTTTGTTTTATGTATATGAGTGCTTGTCTGCATGTGTGTCTGTGAATCACATGGGTGTCTGGTGCCCATGGAGCCCACAAAAGGGATTCTGATCCCCTGGAACTTGACAGTTGTGAGCTACCATGTGCAGGTATTGGGGATGGAACCTGGGGTCTCTGCAAGAACAGAAAGTGCTCTAAACCACCAGCACCTCCCAGCCCTGTTGGCAGCAATGCTGATGTTTCTAGCTGTGTCATTGGAAGCCTGTCCCTGTCATGTGACTTCTCCCCATGTGTGTCCAGTCCAAGTTTCTCTCTTGGTAAGGAGTCGGCAGTGCACACTGTGATCCCAGCACTTGGGAAGTATTATCTACATATTGAGTTTGAAGTTAGTCTGGGCCATCTGAGATTCTGTCTCAAGAAACCAAAACCAACAAACCAACAATCACACAACAAAAACAAGAACTCAAACAAAAACAAACACCCAAACCAAATTTCAAACAAGGATTATGGATGTTGGGTTGGACCCACCCTAGTCCAGATGGTTTTACCTTAACTCAGTCACTTCTGCAAAGACTCTCTGTGCACATAGGTCAGATTCATAGTCTCTTGGTAAGCACAACTTATGACAGACACTCTTCAGTCTGTAGAGAGAGTATGTACAGACTCCAGGAGGCCTGACTTAAGCCTCTTACTCTACTGTTCTTTTCTTCTTCCTCCTTTCTTTCTTTCTCTCTCTCTTTCTGTCTCTCTCTCTTTCTGTCTTTCTTTCTTTCTTTTTCTTTCTTTCCATCTTTCCTTCCTCCCTCCCTCCCTCCCTCCCTCCCTCTCTACCTCCCTCCCTGTCTTCTTCCTTTCTCCTTCTCTCTTTCTTTCTTTCTTTCTTTCTTTCTTTCTTTCTTTCTTTCTTTCTTTTTTTGTTTTTTTGAGACAGGGTTTCTCTGTATAGCCCTGGCTGTCCTGGAACTCACTCTGTAGACCAGGCTGGCCTCGAACTCAGAAATCCACCTGTCTCTGCCTCCCAAGTGCTGGGATTAAAGGCGTGCACCACCACTGCCCAGCTCTTTCTTTCCTTCTTTCTTTCTTTCTTTCTTTCTTTCTTTCTTTCTTCCTTCCTTCCTTCCTTCCTTCCTTCCTTCCTTCTTTCCTTTCTTCCTACCTTTCTTTCTTCCTTTCTTTATTTTATTTATACTTTGCTTTACCGTTTTCTTCTTTCTTTCTTTCTTTCCTTCTTCCTTCCTTCCTTTCTTTTATTTATATGAGTACACTGTAGCTCTCTTCAGACACACCAGAAGAGGACACTGAATCCCATTACAGAGGGTTGTGAGCTACCATAAGATTGCTGGCAATTGAACTCAGGACCTCCAGAATAGCAGTCAGTGCTCTTAACCGCTGAGCCATCTCCCCAGCCCACGCTCTACAGCTCTTGTTGAGCTTCTACACACAGCCTTTGAAGGTGTTCAGAGTGAGGGTCCCCTAGCTGGAAACCAGATTTCTGTAGGCCATATGGTATTTGGCTGTCCCCTGCTATTAGGTTGCTGGGTTGGGCCCAGAGGAGGCCTGGGTACACATGTCTCCTGCCCTTCCAGGCATGACAGCGGTGGTGGTGTTGGTGACAGCGATGGGTTTCTGGATCTCAGTGTGCTCCTCCCAGTCATCTCTGCAGCTCTGTTGCTTCTCCTGCTGCTGGTTTCACTCTTCGCTTGGTGGATGGTGAGGAGACAGAAGAAAGGTGAGTGTGTCTGACCCTGAGGCTGGGGCTGGTAGGATGGTGGTGTGGGCTGACGGCTAGCAATGCCTTCTGAGAGGGGGGTCTGAGGGACCATCCATCCATGTAGTCTGGGAGAGGCTGTAGCGGAAAGGCCAGCAACAGCTGGCAGTCCAAGAGGCTGGCAGAGAGCTGGAGCTTGAACTCCAGGTACAGAATCTGGAGTCAGCTGCCTGCTCTGCGGATCCTCACTCCTCTCTAACCCGCCTCTAGAGGCTGTGTCTAGTTTTGGTCTTGGTGGCCTAGGTAACAATGGCTTTAGGAGGGCAGCCCACTCTAGGGAAATGTGTTTGTGAGGGAGGTGCTGAGCTCACACAGGAGAAGGAAGACATGCATGTAACAGACACAGGCACACGAACATACAGACACACGGTATAGGTGCATGTGTGCGGTGCATGTACATATGTGAGTGAGTGTTGTCTCCCGGAATCAGGAGCATCGATGTGAGCCTAGCTTTTGCTCCTCTCTCCCCATCACCCATCCCAGGCTGACCTACTTGTTCTGGGTGCCCCTGCTTTACATGGAAGAGCCCCTTCTTGCAGAATTACAAGATTTCTCAGAGATCACAAGATCAACCAAGCCCTTTCCTGTCTGGCTTCACTTCCACATTTTCAAGTAATTGTAGAACGTTTCTCAGAAAGCACTCAACCTGAGGTGTTCCCACCTCCATCCCTCTACCCAGACTCCATCTCCAGCCCTAGCTGGAGTCGTATAGTCTCAAAGGACAAACTAGGACTTTTTGTTTATTTGTTGCAAGACAGGATCTCACTATGTAGCACAGGCTGTCTTAGAACTCAATACATAGATAGACCAGGCTGACCTTAAACTCACAGAGATCCACCAGTTTCTGTCTCCCAATTGCTGGGATTAAAGGCATGCACCACTATGCCTGGATAGACTAGGCTTTTTTTTTTAAAGGAAAAAAAAGTTAAATTGTGTGTGCATGTGTGTGTGTGTGCATACCATAGCAAATGTGTGAAGATTGGAAGACAACTTGTGGGAATTGGTTTTTCCTTCCACCATATGGGTTCTGAGAATTAAACTCAGGCTGTCAGGTTCCATGGCGAGCACCTTTACCCACTTAGCCATTCTGCTGGCCCGAGACTCTGCTTCCTAATCATCCTTTCTGCTCCCAAATGTGACCAAGTTCAAGTATTCTCTCTATGCCTGTGTGTGAGGTCATTTGATACTAAAAGCAGAGGTTGACCCTTTCTTCTTTTGTCTCCTGAGCAGGGCATGGGATGGGGGCAGGGAGGAGGGTCAAGGGTAGGGAAAAAAAACCTTACATAATCCAGCAATCCCTCTTTCCCCCATTCCCCTCAAAAAACTTTGCCACACCATGCTGACCCAGCTCAGACATCCTAGCTGCAGGCAGAACACTCAGCTGTCAGGCAGGGCCACGCATCTGGAGGGGACAGGCCCAGCCACCCTATGGTTCAGAGCCTGGCTGTCAGGCAGGGCCACGCGTCTGGAGGGGACAGGCCCAGCCACCCTATGGTTCAGAGCCTGGCTGTCAGGCAGGGCCACGGGTCTGGAGGGGACAGGCCCAGCCACCCTATGGTTCAGAGCCTGGGTGAAGATGAAGTAGAATTTAGATGCAGGAGGTGGGACCTGGGCCATGAGAGGAAGGACCAGGTTGTCCAGTTGCTAGTGAAAACAGGCATGACCTTGAGGTGCCCTTGAAGGATGTGTCGGGTGGAGGGATAATCAGACTACATCCAAAGTTACAGACAAAACCCAGGATCCTGCAGGGAGAGTCCCGTCTCCAGGAGATCTGATCATTTATACAATTCTATGAAGTCAGGAATAAGCAGGTTACGATCGCTTCCTCTGGTGGAGAAATGGAACGCTCAAATCAGAGATGTTCAGTGTCACAGAGTGTGCCTCCCACAGGCTCAGAATTGAAACCGTACCTCTTGTCTGACCTGGAGGCTTATTTGTACCCCACTCCTCCCCTTCCTTGCACGTAGGGATCTCACAAATCTCAAGAATGGGCTTTCTAATTTCAATTTTTTTCTTTCTTTCTTTTTTGTCTTTTAGCTGCTGGGCCACCCTCAGAGCAGGTAAAAGTGTCCCAGAGACCAGACAAAGAGACCAGCAGGCTTCTCTCCCCTTTTCCTCATTGTTTAACCTCCTGGGAGCCTCGATGTCCAAACATATCAGATAAGCCACATAACCAAAGCATCCACAGATCCCTGGTCCTACAGGGGTGTTGGGGGGTGAGGAGCCTAGAAACAGTCAGAGGGAAGGAAGATGAGGGGTCTAGAAACAGCCAGATTGGGGGAGGCCAGGGTAGATAATGGATTTTGGGATAGGGAGCACAAGGAGCTGGGAGGGGGTAGTGTCTCACAGGAAAGCAGAGAAAGTCAAATCTGTTTCCATAGGCTGATGCCATGACTCTCGTCTTGTGTCCCCAAACTCCAGGTACAGTCTCTGGAGGGTGATCTCTGTTATGCAAACCTGTCCCTGCAGCAGCCCAGAACCTCCCCTGGCTCCTCTTGGAAAAAGGGCTCCTCCATGTCCTCCTCTGGCAAGGACCACCAAGAGGAAGTGGAATACATCACCATGGTACGTCTTCCACGGGGCTGTGGAGATGGGAGCCTGCCGCTGCCTCACCCCCTGGAAAGTGAATACCACACCCATAGACACAGCTGATGAGGGCGAGTGGCTTCAGAAGTGTCTCCACACCACATCTCAACCCTGGGGACTTGGTCCTAACACTGGACAGGAAAGAGCCAGACTGTCCAAGTGGCTCAGGATCCTGCAGGAAGGGCGTCTCCTGGGGCAGAGGCGGGGCTCCGTTGTGTTGTGGATGAAGGTCATTTGGGGCTCCTTCCAGAATGGGAGGCCTGACCTGCCTCCCCTGAGAAGTCTCTTATCTCATCAGTGGTCACTGTTCAGCCTCTCTGACTTTGTCACCTTCTGTTTCCCAGGCTCCCTTTCCCAGGGAGGAGATTTCATACGCAGCTCTGTCTTTGGGCAGCTTGGGTCAGGAGCCTACTTACAGCAACACTGGCTGCCTCGTTGCTCACGTTCCCAGGACAGGCCTTGAAGAGACCACAGAGTACAGTAGCATCAGGAGGCCAGGCCTTGAAAAGGAGACCACAGAGTACAGCAGCATCAGGAGGCCCTTGCCTTCGGCCATGCCTTGATCTCGATCCCTGCAGGCGGCCTGCGAGCATGTTTCTGCACACCTGCCTCTGTACCTGCTTCCTTACCAGGCCTAGTGGGTGACTGGAACTCTGTCCATCCATCTCTCATGGCCGTCATCTCTACCTTGAGCTTGGAGTTCAGCCTCAGGGTGTTTCAGTGAATTAAGGTCCCTTCCACATCCTCATTTACAGCCAGTGTACCTTGGAAGGTACCAGGCAGGCTGCTTCAGGGATGCTGTGGAATTCGTAACAACGATAATAATGATAGCAACCAATCTTTATTTATTGTTTTTCACATGGATCCCCCCAGGACATTTTCATCCTCATATCCATAATCTGTGAACTATTTTATACAAAGAAAGACAGGTACGTATGTGTTTAAGTTAGGGTTTTGAGATGAGTCTGTTACTATTCAAGTAGGCCAAAATAAAACCACAAGGGTCTCTTTTAAGGAGGAATAGAGCAAGTCAGAGAGAGAGAGAGAGAGAGAGAGAGAGAGAGAGAGAGAGAGACAGAGAGAGAGAGAGGAACAGAAGCAGAAGAAGGTGGGGGATGCAGCAGGAGCCAGGATGCTGCACATCCAGCAGCCAACAAAGCCAAGTTTCAGACTGTCCTCCCGGGTGGAGCATCAGAGAGCTATCAGGCCTGCCGGCATCAAGGCTTGAGCCGAGTTGAATTGACTGTGTACTTTCAGAATTGTCAAAGAATAAAGTTGTATTGTTTTTATTTATTTCCTTGCCTTTGGTTTTTTTGAGATAGGGTCTCTACACAGCCCTGGCTGTTCTGGAACTGTATAGACTGTTCTAGTCACTCTGTAGACCAGGCTGGCCTCTGACTCACAGAGATCTGCCTGCTTCTTGCTGGGATTAAAGGTGTGAACCACCACCTTCTGTCTTAGAATAGAGTATTTAGCTTAGTGCTTCCATTCTAGGGTCCTAGAGATTTTCTCCTCAGAAGACATCCTTGGTTTCAGGGTGCTGTAGCCTAGATGAGCAGATATTTCTTCTCTACCTGGTTTCTTCTCTTCCTCTGCCTGAGTTAATGCTCCTCCCAGCAATCAGTGTAGTCCTTTCAAAGCTCAGAGCCGATGGCTCCAGCCTTATAACCTCCATGGCTTCTTCCTCTGCTTTTGAGGCCCAGGGAGCCCACGGCCCCTGCTTGCCTTGTGAACCCTAACTCCTTCTACTGCCCCTCATCCCGCTCTATCCATCCCACACCAGCCTCTTCTCTTTCCTTACTAGATGCTCCATTATGGGTCTGAAACATCTCCTAAGGGCCAGGCACTATAGGCTTGATGCCCAGTCTGTGGTGCTATCGGGAGTCAGCGGAACTTTTAGAGGGCGGGGCTTAGAGATAGGAAGTGACGCCACTGGGAGTATACTTTTGAAGGGGATGTGGCAACCCTGGCCTCTCCTCTTTTTCTGTTTCCTAGCCACTGGTAAGTGAGTGGCTTTTCTCTGCCACAAGCACCCCACCACGATGTTCATGCTGGCCACAGGCTCAAGGCAACGGAGTCAGGAAGCCGTGGATTAAAACCACGAGCTTATAAATCATCGTCCCAGTGCAGTGGACAGCTAACTAACAAAGTAAAACTGTGCCTTTCTCAGGGCGTGGCACTTGCTACCCCTTAGTTTGTATGGGTGGGTACATGAGTTGTGGAGGTCAGAGAACAACGTGCAGGAATCAGTTTTTCTTTCCACCCTGTGGGGTTTGGACACTGAACTCAGGCCTTAAGGCTTGCATAAGAAATACCTCACAAGCTAAACCATCTTGCTGACCCCAAAGTGTGACCATTCTGTTTCTTGAGATTTTTATTTATGGATGTGTCTTTGACACTGCACTGTGTATGTAGTGTGACAGCATCAGATCCCCGGGGACAGGAATTACAGATGGTTGTGAGCCATCATGTGGTTGCTGGAAATTGAATCCTGGTCCTCTGGAAGAACAGTCAGTGCTTTTAACCGCTGAGCCATCTCTCTAGCTCCAAACTTGACTATTTGACTGGCTGTTTGGGCTGGTTAGTCTGGAGTGAGGCCGTTTGGGCTGGTTAGTCTGGAGTGAGGCCGTTTGGGCTGGTTAGTCTGGAGTGAGGCCGTTTTGACCCAGGGTGTTTTGAGATTTATGGAGATGCAGTCAGAGCCTTGCATCAGGGCATGGGTGTGCAGTTAGAGCCTTGCACCAGGGCATGGGTGTGCCGCCATAGTTATTGTACAAAAAGCAGGTTTACTTCTGGGTTTATTTTAAGCAGTCTGCCCCTAAACAGAGCGAATAGTTACAAGTTCATGCTGTTTAGCAAGGAATTCATCTTTTTTTGGTGTTACATGTGGTCACAGATCCTCATGGGCTTCTGATGAGAATGAGGAACAAGGCCAGATGTGGTGGTACACTTCTTTAATCCCAGCACTGGGGGCGGGGCAGCTCAAACTCTGAGTTATGGGCCAGCCTTGTCTCAAAGAATAAAACAAGACAACACGACTCACACCTGGAATAGGGGAAGACTAGCGTTTTGCTCAGTTTGGCTTAGGTGGAAGAACCCAACAGCATGGTTCGTCTCTGGACAATGGATGTAGGCTAAAAAAGGGGGCTCCTGGCTGCCTGGCTGGCTAAACTTTTGACATTGTAAAACATCATTAACATCTCCAAACTTCATGCTTGAGCATAGAGAGGATCTGTTATAAGCATATCTGTCAATTAAGGAAAAAAGTGAGCTGAGGCAGGAAATAGGAGAAGAGGCATCTGGCAGAGAGAGAGAGAGAGAATTCTGGATAATAGTCAGGGCTTCTTCTGGGAACATAGAGGAGGTCAGACGCGTGGGAGCTGAGCAGAGGTAGCCAGTCACATTGAAGAACTTAGGATAGAATAAAAGGAGAGATTAGCCCTGGAACACTGAGAAGAAGGGTGTGAGCCAGCAGGTGGCTGAACTCAGGACAGAATAAAGGTGAGGTTCGCCGCAGGAACTCTAAAGAGATGGGTATTAGAGGAAGAGGAGAGAAGCTGGCCACATAGCTGAACCCAAGTTAGAATAAAGGGGATAATAAGTTAAGACAAGTCAGAGAACAAGCCGAGGCGTATGGCCTAGGCACTTATAATAAATAATTAGCCTCAGAGTCGTTATTCTGGAAGCGGGCTGGGAGGAAAAGTAGATTTATTTTTAACACGTGTCAACTATGCGATCCCCCCAAACTACAAACACACAAATCTTATAGTGATTTTAGTTTTGCTAGGACTACTTTTTTTTTCCTTTTCTTTTTAAAGAGATAATATTTTACTGGGAGTTCCAGAGATGGCTTCATGGATAAGAGAAGGCACCTTTCTTCTAGATGTCTTAAGTTCCGTCCCCAGGCCCCTCGTTAGACTGCTCTCAATCACCTGTAACTCCAGCTACAGGGTGTCTAACACCCCCTTCTGGTCCCCACGGACACCATGCTCATATATACACATTCTCACACATACTTGTGCACAGACACACACAGTTGAAAATAGTCTGTTCTTTTAAAAATATAGTAAGTCAGCAGGATTTATTTTGTGCATGTTTGTTCAGAGGGATCACACACGCGTCACGGCATCAGTGTGAATGTCAGAATACAATGGTGTGGATTCACTTGTCCTTTCCCAACTCTACAAGGGTTTCAGGGTTTGAACTCAAGTTACCAGGTTTGGCTGCAAGTGTCTTTACCCAGTGAGCCATCTTGCTAACCTACACTCTGGTGACTCTGAATTGCCTTAGACAGGCTTTGAAAAAGGTATCTGTGAGAAAGACTTATTGCTGGTTGGGATGTTCTGATCCAAAATTCCAGCCATCTGAATCGATGACTTTTTTTATTTTTAATTAAGTCCCTGAAGGTAGAGTTGACACAAGTACTTGTTTAGCCAATTCCACAGCTGACAAAGCAGATTCCCTACCGTGGTCCTAATGGAAGCGTCTAGATTCTTTGCGAGTTTTGTTGTGACAGCTGGAGTCAGTGTCTAAACCCATTTGATTTGTTCAAATGTAAGCTGGGGTTTGGAAGATGCTAGGGAGGTAGGAGGGTGGGGGGAAGAAAGCCAGCAAGCATGCAGGAGAGGCTGGAAGGGGAACTCTGTAAGCAGCTCTGATTTGTGTCTGTCTCAGCCATATCCTGCTGCTCGAGGGCTTTGTAGGAATGTTTGGATGGGTTGGATGGGTGGCCAGCACCTTTACTGCAAGACAAGGAATATGGGTGTGTGCTGCTGTGGTCTGAGTGAGGGGTGCTACTTGCCATCCCAATGCACAGGTTCCAGGAAAACGCACTGTGTTAGAATTGGCTCCAGGATGCTGCCGTGCTCGGTTCTGGCCAAGTGCCTGCTTATTTATAGCCTCATCCAAAGCTGCTGGGGTTTCCCTCCTTTAGCTTTTGAATTATTAATACTTAAAGATTCCAGTTGATGTAAATTGGGAGGGGACTGGAGAGATGACTCAGTGGTTATTGACACTTGCTGCTTTCGCAGAGGCCTGGGTTCAGTTCCCAGCACCCACAGAAAAGCTCACAGTAGCTGTAACCCCAGTCTCAAATAAATGAACAAACAAACAGAAAGGTGAGTGTTGGGTTGAGGAAGGTGCTTTGGATGGACACTTTGTTTCTGTTTTTTGTACTGTGGACTGAGTGTGGGGCCTTGTTGTGTTAGGCAATCCATTCATGAGGTTTCAGCTCCAGTCCTTGGTCTGACACCTTGAAAAGTAGAATTTATTTGACACATTAGGCTTAGAGAGACCAGATAGCTCAAACCCATTGAGTTCATGGACCATTAAGGTTTGGAATAGGAATGGCAGATGGAGTGGTCAGTCTTTCATTTTTCCATCGTGTCCATTTTTGTCCAGTGAAATCCGAACTGGTTTTGGTCAATGTATCGAAAGTCGTTTAAACCAGGGAGTCATAAAAGAGACACATGCTTTTTCAAATGTTCTATTCCGACTCCAAACATCCAGCTTGTAGTAATGTGCGGATACATTTTTAAAGCTTCATCATTATTAATTTATGTGTATGCATGTGTGTGTGTCGTGTATGTGCACATGTGTGCAGATACCACAAGAGAGTGTTGGATGTCCTGGAGCTGCAGTGACAGGTGGTTGTGAACTACCATGTGGGTGCTGGAAACTGATCTTGGGTTCTCTTTAAGAGCAGCCAGTGCCTCTAACCACTGAGCAACCATCCCAGCCTCTCTCCTGATGTTTTAAATGTAGAGTTAAGGCCTTTTCTTTCCTTTCTTTTTACTCTGCTGAGAGGCGGGCCCTTGTTTTTCCTGTGTGAACTGTGTACAGATTGTGTTGTCTTGTTTTCTAGCTTCCCTAACATGAAGCAACATTCTGGCTACTTATGAAGCAATATGACCAAACTTCTTCACTCTTGCGTTTTCTCTCCTGTCACCAGATAGTCTCTCACCCCTTCCATGCGAGCTTGTCACAGTGACCCATGCCTGAGCAGAGCAGCTTGTCACAGTGACCAATGCCTGAGTAGAGCAGCTTGAGGGAGGGAGGGAGGATTTAGAACAAATGGCGTCCTAGTGACCAGGAAGCAGAGGAAACAGATGTTCAGGAAGGGGTTGCAGCTTGAGGTAAGTCTCTAAGGACCATGCCTAGTCACCGCTTCCTCCAGCCATTCCTCTTTGCCACCTCCCAACAATGCCCTTAGATTAAAACTCCATCCAAGGATGAATCTGTAATGAGTTCAGAGCCCTCAGGATCCAGTTGCTTCCCCAAAGCCTGTGAGCTGG